TTTTTTTTTTTTAATAAATTTTTCTCTTTTTTTTGTAGAACTTCTTATAAAGCTACTTTATTCCAACTTTTTTCAAAAATTTCTAAATAAACAAGCTACTTTTGGAAAATTATCTAGACATATTCTAAATCTAGTCCATTTTGTTGTGTTCCATATTTGGTTTTATGTTTTCACTCAAGTGTTTTAGATGGAGTAGGTTTAGATATAGGTCATTGACACGCTTGTGACCAACTATTCGTCTTTTGTTCAAGGAGCACTGGGTTCCAATGGCCTTTTATTGTAACTTCTGTTCATTGTTGGTTGTATAATGCTCTTTATTCCTTCACTATATAAATCTTATCCTCTTGAATCATCTCTTTGTTAACATTGTTTTGTCTACTTGCAATTAAAGAATGCTATTGATAACTAAATTATGATAGTATATGTAAAAGCATCTTCAATCGTGGCGTAAAATTAAATTAAATTGTGATTTGGATTTTTCAAAGTAGCCGGCAACATTTCCGATGGAGAGATGCAAAAGAAATACAAATTGCATTTTCTGACACATTATATTCACAAGAGGCAAATATACTTGTTTGCGGCAAATATTTGAATTTAGATCTATTGGAATGTAAATGAGGATGCAAAAGTGATTTTGAAGATACCAAGTTATATCCAACTTTACACTACGTTTGGAGATGCTATAAATGAATGCTATTTAAGTGACTTTTATAGCATTTTGTAATAACATTCTCTATAATAGAACGTGATACATAGCATTCTTGCCGTGCTATAAATGAGTTCATATCTGTTAAGTGTAAAAGTCGAAGGATGTACATATGGTAAACCCTAAAGCACGTGTGATTTTTAAGTTGAAATGAGTACCAATCTAGAGCTACTGTTGTAGTTAGTCGTCCCACATTCTTGTCGAGAAAGAAGTATGAAAAAATAATTCTTATAATTCTGGGATCTGAAACCACACTTAGAAATAGATATTAGGCTGTGTTTGATTGCAATTATAGAATTTGTAACTAGAGCTTATTTGTATTTAATTATTAATTAAATGTTTTGATTTGTTTAATTTTCAATCTAGAAATTTTATACTTGTCCATTTTTTATTGGTGGGTAAATTAGAGAGAGAGTAAATTACCTAGCAAATAAAAACCTATCCTTCCCTAAACATGTTTTTTTTTTTTGTTTTTGAGAAAAATATGAGCATGTGATCAACTTCTGAAATATATATTTCATGAAAAATATATCAGTCAAACATCTTAAAAGTAGAAACTTGAGTGAAAAATGACATTTTTCAAAAATAAATCTAATCAACACAATATTAACTTCTATTAGAGCAAACATACTTAGCATTTCACATACATAAGCGCACTTACGAAGAAGAAAAAAATAAAAAGACAAGAAAGCAGCATCTTCATTCATCCTCTTGCACGGATACTAGAACAAACACTAGAACAAACTTCACCTAACGATGACAAATTCATATTAAAACAGTAATAACAACACACGCACACTTACTTTATTTAATATAATTCAATGCACTCGTGAAATAGAGAGCTCAATACTTCTTGAGATGATGAGTCTCAACATCTACAGTGATATCAATGTAGTATGCCAACCATGAAATTGGATGCGGAACATCTTCATGTAACATCTCATACTCCAAAGTCCATGTAACATGGTCAATGTCATCTTTCGTCTCAACTTGAGCAGTTATGGTGAATGTCTTGTAGAATTCCATCACATCTCCTTCAAGAACCTTTACAACCAATGCCTGTTTCTCCTCATCAATAGCATCAAGCACCATTTTTGCACTCTGCTCTTTCCCGTCATCTATACATACAAAAGTGCAAGTTTACTTAGAAGTAATTAAGTATGGAAACAGAAAAGTTGAAAATAAACAAGTTTTTAGTTTGATAGCAAGTTAAAAAATTAAGGAAAAAAAAGCAATGTGTCTACACATGCTAAAGAGTGCGATTTACGTACCATGAGCGTATCTGAAAATGACAACGCAGCCGACTTTTCCGAATTCTCCTTCAACCAAGTCACAAGAATGTACCTTTCCAACACAGGCATCGGATAACTGGTGAGGCTTATGCCTGAAAAATTCATGAAACGCATCTCCACCAGCCTCAAACTCTAACTGCGCAATCAACTTACCAGTTAATCCCATTCTTGATTATTTGACACAATGAAAATGAACTTCTAAATGGGAGATATTGTGAGGCAGAACTTTCGAACCCTCTCGTGATTTTATAACCTCATTTTTTCAATCTTTAATTTTTTATTTTATTTTATTTTTTTTAAGTTGACGAGTGAGACCCTAAATGGCAGACAATATATTTTTTTTATTCGATACCCTATGAAGATATATTCCATTTCGCACCAAATTTCAAAAGGTTTGGGTTCTTCTTTAGTTACTTCATAATTTTCAAAGTTAAAGATTGCCTTCGTTTGGGTTTCATTTTATTTTCCTAAAAAATATTCGAAATCATAATTAATTATAATCATATATATGTTTCATAGGATCCATGAAATTATAACTTATCTATCATCTTATAATTTTATCCAAAAAAAGAAAAAAAAAAGAAAAGAAAAGAAAAGAAAAGAAAGTTATACAAAGACATTAATTTACCCAATTTGTGGGATCTATAACCTCCCACTTATTCATAACTTATTTATGCAAACTTAAAATTTTAATAATGCATCATTTAACTAAGGCATCATTTATCTTTTTCCAAAAAGGTGCCATCTAAGATTGAAACCTAAACAAAGGCATTATTCGTGAGCACGTGGAACACGAACCAATAATTGAAACTCCAACAAAACTTTAGAAATTTTTTCAGTAACAAGAAAGTATTTTGTAATCTTTACCAAAATGAAATATATTTAAAAATTGAAATCACTTATAACATTTACATAATTTATTATTATTATTATTATTATTATTATTATTATTATTATTATTGTTGTTGTTGTTGTCGTTATTGTTGTTGTTACTACTGCCGCTACTACTTTTGTTACACAACCTCTATAGCCCAAACAGAATGCAGTATAATAATATATTTGGTAAAACTAGGTAGATATGGCACTTAATTTTGTTATATATATATAGGGAAGCGTTTCCTTTGCCAACATTTTTGAAATATAATTTTGACAAATAATTTGAACCTTTTAGATTGAATTAATCCAACAGTTTTTGTCAATTATATTGAAACCCTTAAAATTTTTTGAAACTTAAGAGATGGAAGTAACATAGACAATGATTGTTAAGGTGTAAATGAATTTGAAGCAAATCGAAAGTCGAAATGAACCCTTTTTGATTATTTAGATATTTATTTATTTGTTATGAATAAAATAGTCATGAGATTGCATACGCACTGAAATCTTGGAGTCTGACAGAAACAAAATATTGGTGTTTCATAAGATTATTCAACTGATCATTAATTATTTTTTAACTTGTTAATTAAGGATATAGTCTAACAATTAACAAGTCCCTGCCCACTATTATATATATATATATATAATTTTTTTTCCAAACTCATTTTAAACAATACCTTTCATAGAATCAACAACTTTTATCAACCACACATTATTCAACTTTTATCAAAATCTACTATAAATTTGATTTTTAACTAAATCAAAGAAGCACCAAGTACAAATCTAAATAACTTTCCAGGTAAGAATGTCCAAATATTACCTGGATCACTCCTTTTGTAAAAGAAAGCATAAAATTCTTTTTCTTCAATCAAGCAATACATCAAATCCGTCGAAGCATCAACTTTTGACTAGAGGATAAACATTGTTGCAATACATTCGTTTTCAAACTACTATTATTATTTCAAACATTTTCTTTGGCACACAAAAATTAAATAAATTGAAGGAATTAATGTTACAAGCTGGAAGATTCGATTTGGTACATGACAATGGATAGAATTGAATAATTCACTTTATCAACAAGTTATACTGGGTGATTTTTCGTGGCTTCATATTTTTTTTTTTTTTGGAGGTTTTGGATATTTCTCCTTCTCATTTTTTTTCTTAAATAGAGTTCGGCAATATTAAAAATAAAATTGATTATTTTTCTTTTCTAACAAAATTATTTTTAGTCTAATTTACCTTATGAAACACGCACAAGCCATTTGGATAGTTCCCATTGTCTTCTCTCGAAGTTTTGAATCTCTCTTTGTATCCTTTTCCTTACAATACTTTTAAATTGATTGCTACAGTATCATTTTTCACTACACATTTACACCATAAAATATTCTACTCACAAAACAATAATGTTTCTTTATTTTTTTAACCGCATATTCTCCAAAAATACTATTCAAAACTCTTTAATTTTTCAAATAGTGGGTGACAATCATGGCCTAAATTTTGAATAAAACTGCTTGGCCCTGGTGAGATACATGACACCACTGGATGGTCCCCAACCAACAGGGGGCACCATTTGGCATCCCTGGATGGCCAAGGCCAAAGTAGCTCTCTTAAATTTTTGACATTTTCAAATTAAATAAAAATACAGTAAGGACATGTGACTCCCATTATTAAAGTTGGAAGAATGTACTTAACAATAATAATTGAACGAATCATGCTGTCCCTATTTGGCATTGATTAAAATCTAAATTCTAAGTTAAAGTCAACAATTAATTTTAACTATGCATTTTACGAGACTCAATAGTTTTTAACCACATATTTCATCAACTTTTATCAAAATTTACAAAAAATCTGATTTTAATCTCCACCAAACAAAGGTTATATGTACAAACACAGTTGGCAACATTGATTTACAAAATCCTACTTGACATCTTCATATTTATCCATTTTTAAAAATTGTTTTCTACATCACATGCTTAAATTTTGACAATGCGTGATTGTCAACAGTGTTGTCAACCATCTTTATAAACTTAGCTTTATTCTAAGCGACCGTGTTGAGAAAGCTGTCAAAAAAGAAGGTCAAAAGGTGAAAAGCATCAATTGCAATTAAAGGAAAAATAATGTTAATAATATTTCAACCATGTTACATTGCTAGAAAAGTTTGACATCTTCCTTAACACAATGCTACATGATATCCAATCATTGGACTGTTTTAAAACAATTAACTTTTACAACCAATCATTTTTTTGCCACCAATACATCTGTAAACATTTTCTTGCAAAATAGCTTAATTCATCATATTTTCACATTTTCTCAGTGACTTGTCCCTTTTCGTTTGTGAAGCAGAAGATACCAAGAAAAAAAAATAATGTTATTATACTGGTATAATTTTTTTTTTTTAATAAATTTTTTGACCTTTTAATTTCATCCTTACCTCCTCCAAATAGACTCGAATCAAGGGCAATCACCTTGGGCAGTCATGTTATGGAAGAGAATCAGGTCAGACTTCGGTTATAAGTTGATGATAATTGCTGTAATTTGCTTTTGTATTCAATACGTGACAAAGAAAATTTTGTAAGCTTAACATTCTTGTATTTTATGTCCTAATTGTGGTTTGTACAAAGTGTAGAATAGTTAGATTTGGTTGCATTTAGGTTATTTTTTTCTTGTGGTATTTGACAATTTGGATGAGCGAGAGATTTTATAAGATCATAACAATAGTCAAAAAGAACTAAATGACATTATAACAAATCCTTGAAGTTAAAACATTCCGAACTATCTCAATTAATGTCTTCTATTGTCATCGATGTTGCATCTCTCACTAAGGAAGAAGTTAATATCTTGGTGAATGCATAGGAGGATGTACATAATAAAGGAAATTATCATTGGTAATGGTATTGAGCGGGTATCCACAAGACAAATCAGAATTGAAGAGCATATAAGCATCAACGAATCACCACAAGCAAGAGCAAAGGGATGTTGGAAAATATTAAAAAATGCAAAAGAAAAAGGTGTGAATAAAGAGAGAATTTGTCATGGAGGTGGACTTTGTAGCCAATAATATGACAAGTGAGATTGTCCAAAATTACTTGAAATTGTTGTAAAAGAATGAGATAGTTATTGATGATTATTTAGTATTATCATGATACATAGATAAATTTTATCTAGTTTAGAAGATCTATTTCATTCCAATTGTAATTTTTATTTTGAAACCTGTAAATATAGGGCATTAATTCTTAATAATACAAGCAAGTTGATCGACTACCAGTGGAATTTTCTAGCACATACAAGCAGTCAACTCACTGTATCCGTATTAAAAATTTTCTTCTTTATTAATTATCTCGTTCTTATTTTTTTAATACGTAGTATAGTTTATGAATTTAGTAGTCTTATATTTGTCTATTAAAAATATTTTGTTGTTCCTGAAGTAGTATAACATTATAATTAATATTCTAAAAGAATATTGATTTATTGCTTATCAAGAACCAATAATAAAATATAACTTCTTGAAATAGCACATATTCGGAATAATAAATCAACTCAATACTGGGTTGTAATTTTTAATGGAAACTAACTTTCTATATTATTAATATTTAAGAAGAATATTAATTTATCACTCTTGAACATAATGTATTATAACTTTCAATGTTTTAGAAGAATATTGACATATTGCTATTGAAAAAGCAATAATTAAAGATAATGTGGTCTAAAAGCAGCACATTTACGAAGAATAAATCGTTTTGAATTCATGTTTATCCGTGAAGGAACATAAAACTAATGATATGAGGATTATGATTAGTTTGATTATATAAACAATATATGATTATACAAGTTTTAATCGTGTTTTTCGAAATTAAATAATTGAATTATATCTTATATTGAACCAGAAGTTCAATTTGATTTTATTATTTGGCATAATTAGTTGGACCATCACTAGATCAACACTGATGCGAAATCAAACCTTTAAATAAATATCCAATGAAGAACTAGAACATTCTTCAATCCAATAAATTCATGCATGTTATTTGTTCTCTTTATCGAAAATGGATCATTAACCATCATTAGCTAAAATAGGGATAGAATTTTCTATATTTCTGAAAATTAATTTAAATGGGCCCCAACGTAAAGCATCTAAATATTATTTGTATCTAAATTTGATAAATATACCTCATGATTGTATGGTGTTCCCAAACTAAAGTTTGTGAAATTACCGCTCACGTTTAAATTTACAAGCATAATTTTCGATTATATAATCAAGAATGTGTCTTGTTAATGCTAGGAATTTTAAATCTCAACATTTTAATAAGTGTCACTTGGGATGTCGATAAATTGTTTAACACTATTATTTGTTAAACTCCTCCAATTAATTGAGAA